CGGAGATGACATCTTCCAGGCCCGCGATGAGCCAGCCCTACACGCCAGATACGGTGGCAGCAATAAATACAGATAGCGCAGGACGGAGGACCAGGACGAATGCAAGTTCGCGCAGGGGCGAAAAGAATGAGACGAGCAGATGGGACGAAGGAGAGACGCGCAGTGCCATGTACAGTCGACACCCTCCTAACCCATACCCCTGGTAACCCATAAACTGTAAAAACCCATAGGATTTTGGCTTTCCCAAGTCGGGATAGGGGGAATTCGACCCCATAACCCATAGGTCTCCAGTACCCCATAACCCATAGCCTTCTAGGGCTCAAAACCCATACGGTAATGGTGGTCACATTGAGATTCCGCCCATCAATAACCCACAAAGTACTCGATACATGCTTCCTAGTGTCCTCCCAGCATCCATCCATGCTTCAACCACGTTGTGGGTAGGTTAGTGTGTTCGAAGTCCCATAGCGCTCCCTCGAAGGGTCAGTAGACGCCTGTTCAGCGCTCGCTAACTGGGACTTATCAGGGCGCTTAGAAGGCGCTAAAGTTCTGGTAGCCCATAACCCCTCAAAACCCATATATTTGGGCCTGTCCCGAGGGCTATGGGTTAAGAGGGTGTCGACTGTATGCCGCGTCCTGAGCAGCTAACTCGAGCGGGAAAGAGCGTGCGCTGGTTTATGAACTAGTGACCAACCCTGGCACCTGTTCCTGAACGGACATCATTGCCGGACGAAAATATACGTGCCAGGTCGAAGACGATGGCGGTTGCCATCAGATGAGTCGGATCAAGAAAGAGATACGGTTTGCGTTATGTAATATCGTCGGGAGGTGGCATTGGTCTCTCGTGAGTCGAAGCCTCCCTAGACTTGCACTGAAAACGGTCGCGTATACGAGTATGTACGGGTCACTCGAATGGATGGGCAATAGGCAGGATGTAAGTTGGGCGTGGTTCTCGAAGGGAGATGTAGGGCAGCGTCAAGAGGTACAATCTCACCAGTTGATCGTGATCGGCTGCGGGACAGACGTGCACGGTCTAGATTGCACCGTACTGGGAGCGATCAATACATTAGACTTCATGATGCAAGTGGCGTTCTCATAGGGCACACGGTGCGTCTGCAGCACTGACCCAACTGTCAGACACACCTGCGCCATGACTAGCAGGAAGCTTCTACACACCTAGGACAACATCGGTGATGTTAACCTAACAGCGCACGGCGACAGGATCGAACCTGGGATTCCTGTATGGTGACCGAGCTTGACTGCGCAGATCAGAAAATCAGCAGGACAGGGTGACGTCGGGCACGTTCAGGTGTGCGAGGCGGAGAGAAGAGATACGCCAAGTGGCCAAGGATGCGCAGACCAGAGCTCGGTGATTCGATGGGATAAAGGCAGGCTGTAGTTGCTTGATACTCAAAGCACTCAAGGTCCGAGTCCTGTCAAGAACCGAGCTCACTCCAACCCACGCGCGCCTGTGTCCAGGCGCCTTCATGCTCTTGTGTAGGGCTATATCACTATGCCGTCGACTCAGTGGAACGTTCACACTCTACGGTCGGAAGGATCTCATAGTCGGACTCGGCGTCCAGACTCAACATTATGAAGGGAGGTCAAGCATGGAGCTAAACACCTGCCTGAAAGAGTGACCAGTGCGAGGAGCAGTCTGCGTCCATAAAGTCCATCAGACGCGCCAGCACCCGGTGCTACACTGGCAAGGGTCATTTATCCGCGCCTCAAGTGGCCTCTGGTCTCATACGAAGTAGGAGTACTGTCCCTTCCGCGATAGACTTACGTTATTGGCGGCGGGCGCAACGCAGAGAACACATTCACCAAAGGAAATGAAGAGACAACGGGCCCAAGCTACCAAAACAATATCAAGCGGTATCAAGAAGTAGGATCTCGGCAGATGTCTTACGTCTCCAGCAGCCCGCCGGCCACCAGCGACACCTACAGACACATAGCTGTAGGCTCGATAGACAGATACCCCAGAGACTCACATATCCGAAGCAGCATGTGAGGGAATTCCGCTAGGAATTCTAGCTAAAACGCGTAGTGCCAGGGATTCGGAAAACAATTCTTGTGGCTGCTCGAGACCATGCAGTATAGTGTTAGCGTCCCAGCGTTAAGGTACCTGTTCACAAGTTGTGCCAATTATTCAGTACATGGTTAGAAACGGACATTGGCGTGCACAGTGTGCCAGGTGCGGAACTGAGACGCTCACATACCAGCTCTCCTCCTTGGTAAGAAAGATGGACATTGTCCTCGAGAGCGTTCGATAGGTCTTTGAGCATTTTGCGTCAGATGACCGAGGATGTACTACCTGTTTGACCGCCCAGCTGGACCCACAACTACCGTGCCACTAGTCGTGGGCGGCGGCGAAGCGGACCCCGGAGCACATCTTGAATTCGCTGTAAGTCACTGCCTTGCTACTTGGGCAAGTGCCACCACCGCCCCTCGGGGAACGAGCATCCTATTTGTAGAACGCGCAATTGCCGCCGTCAATGGAAGAACATTCGATTGAACTCGGACACACCGCTGCTCCCACGTCAGAGGCGCCTACGAAAACTTGACTAGAGCCGTGGTGCATGCCCCGATTGAAACGGAGAAAGAGAAGCTAAAGAGATAAGCCCAGCCTACGCCTGACATACTGAATTGAACGGCTGCATTGTCACATAACCTAAGTCAATGAGCTGCAAGCCTTCGCGGAGACCGCCGACATCGCTAGGGAAGCTAGACCTAGGATCGTAGTCGGAGTTCGCAGCGAACCACTTCAGACGCCGGCGAAATTGCGGACCGTAGCGTTGGGACCCCACCGGGAGGCACATCGCCGATCCACAGCATGAGTATTCTTTGATTGTGAGAGCTGACTATCGTACTGCAATGGACCGACGGCCCGTCACTTCTATGCCTGCGCGTCATAAGATACTGGTTCTATGAGAAGCCATGGACCTGCTGAGAAAGCAATACGTACTGCCTCTACGACCATCCAACCCGCGTGCTGCAGACCGTAATCGGAGGCACGAGGTCTAGGCATGCGCCAGCTCGGACAAACCCACATTAGAATTGAGTTATGGGGACATCGAGAAAATTGCAGAGGTTTTTTGATAGATTGTGTACAAACGCACATATCTCGCTGTTTCAGATGTTAAAGGGCTGGGACAGAAGTTCATTGTGCTTTGCGATAACAACTGAGTAGAGATGGCGGTCAACTTTCCAGACGCCGGGTGTCCAACGAGCACAGGGCAGCATGCTTTGCACCATTGCGACGAAGTATAGTATCACCTGGACGGTGCCAGTAGCTTGGGGAAGGCATATTCTATGAGAAACGCGTTCTCCCAGAAGCATAGGGTCATCTGTTTACTTCCTGAGCTCTTTGAGAGGGTTTGTTAGCTCACCTTGATATTTCGAATGAGCTGAGCGATTGTATGCGCTGAAAGGACGCACGTTCGGCGAGCAAATCTGACCCTGCAGGAAGTCCGAAGTGACAAGATGTTTCCACGACGACATCGACGATGGACTAGCATGTTTTTGGTTCGATACCGATGCGGTTGAACAAGGCTGCGCTTACCTGCCCGTAGGACAAGGAGAGCGTCTAGACAGACAGGGGTAGATCTTCGTGAGGTGGCCTCCCACAAAGAGACAAGTAAACGACCACGTTTTGTCTCGCCGTCAGTTGGCTCATCTGGGAACGACGGCAAGTCGGCACTCAGATGAGACCGCCGCGGTAGGCATCTGCATCTCTGAGCGAAAATATAACGTTTTGAATGTTCTGTCATGCAAACGACAGGCAGTGGGGTGCGTAGGTTGCAGGGGAGGCAGTTACTTACCAGAGGATGATGCGGTGAGGCCGAGCCTGGACGAGCGCGACGAGCACTGCCACCTTTGAGCGCACAAGGGTGCCGCCTGTCTCGGAGTGGCACACGTAAGTAACTAGTGGATACCACCCGTCTTGCTCTTCCGAAATCTTCCTCGCGACCGCACCCACACTGTAATGTGTTACACTCCGCGAGACATTTTACAACCTGGTCACCATCTATCCAAAGAGGTCGATCAACTGTACCTCCGCAAAAGACGCCTTCGAGAGGTATATATGCGCAGTCGACTAGGCTCAGCCGCGACGCCTCAGGCAGTACATTCTCGTCATCGTCATCCCGCCGTCTGATATCTGAAACTCCATTACCTCTGTCCTAATTCTAGCACTGGTCGTACGCTCTCTGACCGACGATCCCATCATCAAAGGTGAGTGGTGCCGACTCGCGATATCCCATCGAACCCTTCGTCCTTGCCAATGAGGTCGCGGGACGACCGGCAGCGACGCTGTCCTATCGCCCAGCGCCTGGCGCTCGACATTGTCAGCTCCCGATCTTCCAATGATAGCGGGACTGATGCCATGTCGCGATGTTTCCAGGGGAGCCCGGAGTCACGGAAATTCAAATCAAAGACTTCTTAATCTACCCGCTCCTGTGCACTTCTTCCAAAGCTCCCCTCTACGTCGCCCGCAGCACACTGCCCGCACATCGGCGCATACCACTTCCCTACCTGGAGCATCCCATTCACCGACTAACGCAGACACCTTGGTACGCCTACTGACACGACACTCGAACCTTTGTGGGTCCGAATCGGACATCCCGCTTTCGTAACGACATCTAGAGTCTTCCCGACATTGCTATAAGACAGCCTTCGGCCCACGCTCTCTCATCACCTTGCCAGCACCTTCGCAACTCTTAGCGACCATGGCTCAACAATACCCCTACCCTCAGTTCTTCTACCCGACACCGTACATGACGCCTTTCTACAACCAACCATACGTTTCGCCCTTCATCCCTCCGGTCACGAACTTGCCTCCCGTCTCGGTCGTTCCTCCTCCGCCTACGCCCGAGCGTCGAGTACGCTTCGACGAGTTTCCGCCGCGTGAGCGACGTCCTTCTTGGCACGCGAGCCTGGCACCTCCCCCGAACCCGCTGCCGTTCCCTTCTCCACCCATCATTGTCACCCCCCTTCCTCCTGTCATGCCTCTCCCCAACCATCCTGCATCGGCCCCTATGTTCACTCATCAGCGGCGTTATTCCGATACATGTCTTGCCCAGCCTGCGTGGGTGACCTTCCCCACTGTGCTTCAACCTTTCGCGTCACCCGTCTTCCAGCCGAGCTCCCCACAGATAGCCCAGATTCACCCTCTGCTCAACGGTGAGAGCGCTGGAGGCCCTAAGATCCTCTTCGACCTCTCCTGCCACACCTTCAACCCCCAGCGCATCACCGCCTACGGTCAGAAATCTGGGACCCCGCTCACGCTCGACGAACTGCTCGAGCCTGCGACGCACCCTGCGACGTACCGGATGACGATCAAGTGCGACCTCATCCCAGAATGGCCCATCAACCTTGAGCAGCACACGACTCCGCGCGAACGCTCGCGCGAGCGCTCCCCGTTCCTCTCTGTCTCTATGCACGAGACGGAGAACGCGCCGATCACGGTGTACGATGTGCTCATGGCGCTCTACAAGACGGTCCAGAGCAGGATCAGGCAGAGCGACTGGGTACGTCTGTCGACGAGGCGGATGAACGAGGTCTCGGCGGCGTACTCGCGCCGGTGCAGGAACTTCCCGAGCGTGCAGGCGTTTGAGGAGGCGCAAGGCGTGCGGAGGGTGGATTACCTTGGGGAAAAGTACATGTTCCGCGGTATCATGCGCGAGAACGGCCCTGATGGGTTCACGAAGATGAAGCTTCTCGTCGAGAGCCCGCGGTAGTCGCCGCTAACCGTCGTCGCCGCCGCCTTCTTGGCCTCGCTTTGCGTGCTGTGGTCGACTTCCTGGGATATTCGGAACTGGAGGCTTGGGTCTCAATACTGGGGAACTGGAAGATGGGAGCCGTTTCGGGATTACTAGGCTGGGACTCTCACCTGCGCACTCCATTGCACGCATCCTTGTGGTATCGTGGATACGTGTTACGCGTTGCTTGCTGCGCGAAGACTCCGGATGGAGTGAATGCGTGGGTGTCAGAGCCGTCACGCGGTCTGGGGTTTGTTGACTCAGGGGGCTGGTTTCAGATAGCGGTACTTGACACTTGCATCTGTACCTTGTGGCTACCTACACGTCGCCTCACTTGGACGCTTGGCTCTGTGGAATCCAGTCTAGTGCCAGATCTAGGTAGATGTTTTCTAACTGTGGTCGTTACTTGTCTTGCTCGCCATCCGGTTGTTTATAAGCTGTGTAGCGTAACTTATGGGCTAATCATGATGGAGAATGGACTCGGCTGTTTGGGCCAGTGAGAACGCATATGGGGAGCTTGCATCACGTTCGCCTCGCTCAATCGGATAGGCGGTTCGAATTCGACAGTCACGCTGGGCTATGTTGTGTTTTCTTTTGTTCCTTCTACGGCAGTCTCACGTCTGGTGGTGGTCATCATGGCTCCGATAAGAGGCAGGAGGTGGGAGGGGACAGCGATGTTTGGGAGCTCGGAGTTGCGTTGCTGGAATACACTGCGAACCGCGGGACGAAGGTGCCAGTGACGTCGGTGAGCGGAAGGCCGGCTCTCACCCGCCGAACGTCGTCCACGACCACCATCGACTGTGCCTCATAGCTCCTCCCTTCATGCCACCTACCCACCGTCTCATATCTGTCCCTCTCGTCTTCACGCCAACCCTCAAATCCAGGTTGACCCCTAGGCACTCCCTCTTCCGTTATCGCATGGCCAGTACTTCTGTTGTGCGTCTCTGCTTCGCCTTCAGATGTGCATCCGACCAAAAAGCCTCACATAAACGCGCAGTTTGGCCTGAAGGAGTCGTCCTTGATCCACAATCAAGCCTACATCGACGGGAAATGGATTGATGCGAAAGAGGGCGGAGTCATCAAAGTTACCAGTGCGTAGTCGGTCCCTTCGAGCTCTTGCGAACCAACTCTAATACCATACCTATATGGCCTGCGCAGACCCCGCTACAGCGAAGGAGCTTGGGACGGTGCCGGAGCTGGGCTTAGAGGAAACTAAGCAGGCTATAAGCGCGGCTTCGAAGGCGTTCAAGACATGGAGCAAGACCACTGCAAAGGTATGCTGTCCCGTTACGTCTCCTCGCGTTCATCGCTCTCAAGCATATTCGCGCTGCAGCAGAGGCATGACATTCTCTTGAAGTGGTATGCGCTTATGCGCGAACACTCGGACGACCTCGCGCGTCTCATTGTGAGTGGTTTCTTTAGCAGCATCAGCCAGTCCCCTCGAACGGCCGTGTAGACTATGGAGAACGGGAAGCCCTTTGCGGAAGCTAAAGTAAGTCTTATATCACGAAATTCCCCTTCACTAACGCCTTATCCACTCGGCCAGGGTGAGAACGCATACAGTGCATCGTTCATCGAGGTACGCAAAGTCACTTTCGCCTGTATTGGATCGTGTCTGAGTTGGCCTATCGCAGTGGTTCGGTAAGGTGTTGTCCCATCTTCGCTAAGACTTCTCTTACGCCTCGTATGCTTGTAGCCGAGGAGGCGGTTCGGACGTACGGCGGTAAGTATGCGACCTACATGTGTCTCGTAACTATTCTGACTCGTGCCTCTATGCGCAGAGGTCGTTCCTTCGGCGTTCACGAACATCCGTAACGTTGTCGTGAAACAACCTATCGGTACGTCACTGACGGCCCTATCAGCAATTGTAGATGCTAATGCCGGTGCCGGCCTGTAGGTGTAGTGTGCGTACTCATCGTACGGTCTACTCCTGCTATCAACTGACGTCATAGGCAGGTCAATCTTGACTCCTTGGAACTTCCCCTCGGCTATGATCACCCGCAAGCTTGGCGCCGCCCTCGCAGCAGGGTGCACCGCCGTCATTAAGCCCCCACCAGAAACCCCATTTTCTGCTCTCGCGCTTGTCGAGGTAAGTCACGGGCGTGCCGCTGTTGTGGACGGTGGCAGATTGCTGCGCAGCGACCATACGACTGCTTGCTCATACTATGGCCTTCACCCGATTGTCACTAACCAACTTGCCCTTACGTAGCTTGCGACCCGTGCTGGTGTACCGCCTGGCGTCATCAATGTCGTGACTACCCAGGCAAACGTAAACGAGGTCGGGCGGGAGATGTGTGAGAACACGGCCGTCAAGAAGGTCTCATTCACTGGTAGCACCCCTGTAGCGAAGATGCTCTATGGACTCGCCTCAACCACACTCAAGAAGGTCTCGATCGAAGCGGGCGGTAATGCGCCGTTCATCGTTTTCGATGATGCTGACATCGATGCGGCTGTTGAGGGCGAGTCCCAACTGTCGTTCCCTATCCTTTGATACGCTGACGCATGCACTAAATCGGCAGGCGTCATTGCATGCAAATTCCGCGGCACGGGCCAGACATGTGTCTGCGCAAACCGCATCTACGTCCAGTCCTCTGTCTACGCAGAGTTCGCTTCACGCCTCGCCGAGAAGGTCGCTGCGTTCAAGGTAGGAAACGGTCTCGACAAGGATACGTACGTATTGACTCTCGCTTCCTCTTGTGTCCAACGCCCCTGTTGACTGTTGCACCTCGAGCACAGCACCCACGGGCCCTTGATTCATGAGCGCGCGATTGAGAAGGTCCAGAAGCACGTCGATGATGCGCTCCAGCAAGGCGCTCATCTCCTCTTGGGCGGTAAACGTCTCCCGGGCGCGGGTTCGTTCTTCGCGCCCACCGTCTTGTCGGACGTCCCTCCCACGGCGCTCGTGAACCAGGAGGAGACATTTGGGCCCCTCGCTGCGCTCACCAAGTTTGAAACCGAGGAAGAGGTTATTCGAATGGCGAACGACACGCCCGTTGGGCTTGCGGGCTACTTTTACTCTCGGGACGTGGGAAGGGTCTGGCGCGTCGCGGAGGCGCTTGAGGTTGGGATGGTTGGGACGAACACGGGCTTGATAAGCCAGGCGGTCATTCCGTTTGGTGGGATCAAGGAGAGTGGGCTTGGTGAGTGTCCTAGGATGCGTGAGGTCGTACTGACGGACAGATGCTGATTTCCCCCGATGTTAAAGGACGCGAAGGCGGACATGGCATTGAGGAGTACATGAATATTAAATTCATCGCGTTTGGTGGCTTGTGAGAGACGAAGCGCAGAGAAGGATGGACAAAGAAATGCACACGACCGAGTATATACAGGGATTTTGCTTCAATTTCATACCACACCATGTCTTGATTCCTGTAGCATTAGCTTACGTCCTCCTATATGGGGCGCGCCCACGATGAAATGTACTAAGGTGCTCAATTGCGCATGTGCAGCGTTTTGACTAGGGATGCAACATGGTGAGATATTGGTATTGACGGTGGCTGCTCGATTGACTAATAGGGGTGTTCAATTCTTGTCGCTCGCTCAGTTACCCGCGCGCCTACCGGGCACCTGCCCAGCCAGGTTCAGGCTCCGCCTGAGCCGCCTGTAGCGCAGTGGGTGCGGCGCGATCGATGGGTGTTGAACTTGGACTTATCCGGTCCGGACTACACGAGGCTATGCGTCTTCTAGCGCTTAGCTGTAGTCGCTTATGTAGTATGTTACCATATTTGGGACTCTCTGCTCATGTACTATAGCTATGCTTCCGGACTCTTCTGATACTGTCTAGGACAATCTGTACTACTCCAGAACGGTCTAGACAGGTCTATGCCTTACTCATCTCTTACTCATCCTATGGTGTGATACGTCGCAATTCTTTCACCATCGTATTATTCATCGCACTATGGTACATGTGACTAACCACTCTTCGATTAGTCATGGACACTTTTCTGTAGTATATAAGGATTTCAGATTGCGTCCTCCCTCTTCAGTCTTTCCTTACTGACTGAAGAGTGAGTACTTCATTACCTTTACCTCTAACTTGTAGTTACTTACTTAACCTTTGTAGTTATGCAAGAGTTTTCTGGGATTTTGGTGGGCGGACCCTAGGGTCGGCTAAACCCTACCCTAGGGTTTAATCCACTGTCATAGACGCCATCACCCTGCATACACCCACTAGCAATATAG